GTATTTCCCACTCAGATCTCTGGCAACTAGCCCATCATCCCCTGCGGGTGTTTGGTTGTCTAATCCGTGCCGAATGCTAGCTCCGTTGGTAATTGTAGCAGGTGTAGCCAGTATGGTGGATTCTTCTTCGATGAGTGAAGGCAAAGTCCTTTTGCTCTTGCCTCTAGGCATCCTCAATGCAGATCGTGCATGTGGGCTAGTATCAGCATCAATATCGATAATGTCACCTCCGTCATCATCACCATCACCATGGTTCGATCCATTTTGCCTGTTTTCCAACCGATTGTTGACTTGAAAGATGTTCCTGCGAATCGAGGGAGGCAGCGATATCAAGGTCTGTGGCGGCGTGACAAATTCATCGTGCTGTCGTGGCCGTACTCCGGGCTCTGGCTGTGCTTCCCCGTCCTGCTGCACAGATGCTTCTGGATGACTGTTTGCTACAGCTGTTTGTCCACGAGTGACAGATGAAGCACGAGTACTGATTCTTCGCGAGGGCATTGTAAATTCGTCCGTCGGAGGTGATTTGTGCGGTGTCCTAAGCAACAGTTGAATATTTGCACAATTGGCAAATAACCAGGCTTAGAAACAGGCGTCTGTAAGCAGCAGGACCTTCTTGTAACTATTGGATCATGGAACGTCAGCGATGCATAACTTGTCCACATCCTTGTCTCGTCTGACATTTGAGAAGCGAACGTTGCTTGGATCAAGTTATGGTGCATAACCCTATATATTCACTTTGACCCAGTGAATCAATTCAATAATCTCCTGATGGTGTAGTTGGTTCATCACGTTCGGCTGTAATGGTTCTTCAATGCTACCGAAAGGTCCCTAGTTCGATTCTGGGTCAGGAGATTGACCCTTTTTCCTTTTTTATTCCCTCTCCTGCCTCCCTCTCACTCATCTTGCCTTACTGCATCAATCTCAGCTTCAGCCTCGTTCGCAATCCAAGTGAAAAATCACAATGTCAACTTATCACGGTGACTCTTCATTACATTGTAGTGCTCTCGCTTTCTTTTCTCTTCCTCTTCCTCTTTCTCTTTCTCTTTCTCAAATTCTCTTCATTCCTTTACCTCTTTCTCCAGGCTGCAAACTTGGGAAGGGTACACAGATCGGGTTCCCTATGGTGCTACACATACAATATCTCGTAATGCTGTTAATCAATGTCATCAAAATGCGTCTATCGCTGCCATCACTGCTACTGACATCTTATAAAGGCCTTAATCATCTACTTCAAAGACCTTCTACAATTTCCAGAACTTCTTCTGCTTCTTTTTTTTTTTTTTTTTTTTTACTTCTTTTCACAGGGAAACTGCGGCTGTCCGTTGCCATCTTCTGCCCCTGCCTTGTACTTCCGGCTATAGAATTAAACCGCTGCAAACCGTCCAATTGGATCTGCCTCTCTGCCTTAAGCGTACAGTTCACCTTCCCTTCCCTCCTCAAATCAGATTGCAAAGCTTTGGCAAGCAATCAGTAAATAATGCTCCCTGAAAGGGGCTAACATCTTCAGGAATTATCGTTCTTCCTTGTCTAAGTACACGGCTCTTATCACCATGCTTCAAGCAAAACGACCGCCTCCGTCAAAAAAATATGAGGAACCTCCGGCTTTTCAGGTAATTATTCTGGTATGTATAATATCATTTCCCCCACTTCCATGGGTTGAAGTATCTCTGTCTCGCTTCCTGTTTTTGTTTTCTCTTCGTTGAATGTCAAGGTCGTTCATTGTACTGTCTTGCCTTGCAGCAGCTCGTGTGGAGATGTCCGCTCACATCCTCTACGCAGGGATCCTCCGGTGGGCCCAGAGAAGACAACGTCACTGGCGGGCTAGTAAGATCGCTATCCACCAACTGGGAGACAAACTCTGTGGTCGCCGTCGATGGTGGCACCCTGCTTGGTGGCATAATCAGATGTCTAGAACTGTCTGAAACAAAACCTGCCAAATTCAGAGACGGAAAGAACGAGAAGGATGGCGTACAGATGGTCAATGGAGCTTTCGAGGGCTTGACATTACCTCATAAAGCTGCAGAATCAAATGGTGCTTGGATATTCCGCCATCTAATTCAAACTGTGCTTGTGACCCATGCACACCTCGATCATTGCTCGGCTTTGGCTATGAATACGCCCTTGATTGAGACTGAAACGGGTCCCAAAGTGATAGGTGCTCTGCCCTCCGTGATTGCTGCCCTGAAAGATTATATTTTCAACGATGTCATATGGCCGAATCTGTCAGACGAAGACGAAGGCGCTGGCCTTATCACCTATCAGAGACTTAGCGACGGCGGCAATCCAATGCTTGGGAGAGGTACTGGCAGAGGATATGTCGAAAGCTGCAGTGGAATTGTGACCAAAGCTATGAGCATCAGCCATGGTAAAAGTAAAAGAAAATACAATCCTGATACCGACAAGTTCGAACGTTTACCTCAAAACAAGTCTCGCGATACCTCAAGCAAGGATTCTACTAAAATGGAGTAAGTCATCTCGATCGACACATCGGGTTGGTTTTGTTTTGATTCTCTCCATCTAATGTAGGAAAACGAGACAGGGAGCCCGAAGCTGGTGGTGATTTATGGGCAGCAGTCGACAGTTCAGCATTCTTCTTACTAGACGTCCGATCAGGTAGTGAGATACTCCTCTTCGGTGACCTTGAACCCGACTGTGTCTCCGCATCTCCCCGAAACGCCAAAGTCTGGCGTGAAGCCGCGAAGAAACTTGCGGCCAAATCTCTCCGAGGTATCTTCGTCGAATGCTCATATCCAGATGCTGTTGATGATGCTACGCTTTTTGGTCATATGTGTCCGAGGCATCTGATTGCCGAGATGAGTGAGTTTGCGAGATATGTGAAAGAAGAGAGGAAACTACTGTCTAGTGAAAACCGACCAGACTCCGGTAGTAAAAAGACTTCTCCATCGGAAGATGATCAAAATCATCAATCAGATGATGGTTCGCCGCCTCTTGACAACAAGAGAACTTCTCCCTCCGAGCGGTGCAGAGGGGACGCAGACAAAAAATCTCCTGACGATGATTCTGGCCGGTCAGCTAGTTCACATGACAAGGAAGACGCTGTCCCTGTTGAAAAAAGCCAGAAGTCAATGGGCACCGAAGAACGAACTTCGAGTGAGGATGATCAGGTCTCCGAAGTTAGTGATCATCCTCTAAAGGGTTTGAAGGTTTTCATTGTCCATATTAAGGAGGAGTTATCACTGCCGAAATCAGCTAGGGAGAAGATCATGAGCCAGCTGAACAAGCACAATGAAGAAGTCGGACTTGGTTGCGATTTCATTTCCTTATTAGCCGGGGAGGTTGCCTATTTGTGAGCATCCCCTATTTTCCCCCTGTTTGGTGGCATATAGGCTTCATGATTTTGCAAGATCAAGAACAGGGGCGTGGAATCTGGTCAGTTCGATGGCTTTGTCATATTTTGGATCGACTTGCTTCAGGCTCTCTGGCTGTTCTTGTTCTCTTCTTTCATTTTTTATTTCATTTTTTTTTTCATTATAGATACTGTCTCGGGTGAAGATATCCATTGGGTTTTTATAATTCTTTCCAATCGGCGTCACACGTTGACTACATCACGTTTTACTGTCCACCTGTCCTGTCGCTTTGTCTACGCCTTTCAAATCCATCGTGGGTTAGCAAATGATTGTCAACGAAAAGCGCGATTATCATTATACCCAAATCGTGCACTACTCTTGATTAGATTGTTATTTTCAATGACGACTCACTCAGATTGTAGGCTACTCTTGAGGCAGTGAAGAGTAACCATTCGTCACTTCTGGGCCGTTGAGACCATAAAAACCCCTCTTGAAAACTGTTCTGTCCGTACATGACTGCCGGCATACTGACGCATCTGCAGTTGAGGAATCAGGGGTGCAGTTGGCAATCCAGGGAGCGAGGTCAGACGCGTTTAGTCTACGGAAGTGTCAAGCCAGGACTAACCAAACGACGGCCACCATCATTTGCGAGTGAGGCTGGCCATTGACAAAGCTGCGTGATTGATATCAAGGGGTAGATTGACGAAGAGATGGCTCCTGCATCAAAGGAGCCTGAGAATCCATCACTCTCTACTGCTGGTCAGGAAGCACTTAATGAGCAAGAGTGCAGTGGAGCAATGACGGCGGGCGAGACGACTCTCTCTGTAGGTACGAAGCGTCGACGGGTGGAACATGCTCAGAGTACGCTTACCAGGCCATTCAAATCACCACTCAAGACGAGCTCGTTGCATGCCACTTCGTCGGTAAAGGATGATTCTCAATTGTCTCAAAACCAGAAACGTGGGAGATATGATGGTCAGGGGGTTGAAGGCTCAGGAAACACTAATGATCCGCCTATTGAAAAGGGGAACAGGAGGATGAAGCCAAACCAAAACCCTATCGCGATTACGCCTGACAAGAAGAGGGTGTCATCCCCAGGTTTTGTAACTCATTCGATTTCCTCATCCCCATTGCTCGCACCGTCGCTGGCAAGGAGAGTCGCAGGCGTCCATAGAGGAACATCTTCAAACACATCAACGTCTTCACAACAGTCATTATCCCCCATGAGACGACTCCTTTCACCGATGAAGCAACCACCATATCTTGCTACTAACCCACGGCTCGTCACGCTACAGCGACAGCACTCTAACATCCTGCGTTCGCTGAGTTCGGCACGCAATACGCTTAATCTGCTTCAGCAGGCGACTCGCATTGAGAAGCAGAAGCAGGATGAGCAATTGAAAGACTTGACCAATCATTGGCGTCAGGTTGCGCAAAGAGCCGCCGAGGAAGTGTTTACTGGCGCTAAAGAGCGCATTGATAGGATGGGTGGGGTGAAGGCTTGGAGGGAGATGTCTACTGGTAAGAACAATCCGGCGTAAAAAGAATGATGATATGATATAAAAACTTTGAAGTGGGATTGAATGTTGGACGTTGGATGCTTACTTGTTG